CTGCTTACTTATTTAGTAGGTATAGGTTATATTAATACGTCGGTTGTGACCATTTAATGTGTTATTGGATTAATGATTGGATAATTTCAAGACTAATGGGCACCGTGTCGCTAAAATTATTACAGTCGCGTACTTTTTCAACTTTTATATTTTTAATGTATGGTTGAATTTTTTTTTTATGGACAATTTTGATAACCAATGGATTTATATTTATATATATATATATATATATTTTTTTTTTGGATTTTTATTTTTTATTTATTTATTTATTTATTTTTATGTGTAGGGAGCTAATTTAATGCATACATTTTGGGAGCTAATTAAATTTGTAAAAATGACAGCTTTGTGATCGTTTAAATCTATAATTCATATATTTTATCTGTCAAGACTAAGAGAAACGATTAAATTTGATGAAGTTATGGACGATTGATACACGCTGATTTTATTAATTTCTACTATAAAACGTTTTTTCCTATCATATGTACTTTAATTAAATGATTTGAATGCCTATTTTGTTAATTCCTCTCAATACTAGAAAATGTAATCAGAATTAAAAAATGTACTCGTATGTTAAATATCTTTGAATGTAGATATTTTATCTAGTCAAAGTTTTCAACTGTTGATTAGAAAATTCGTTTTTTACTATGGACAAGGACGTGGACATAAGTTTGTAATTGCGTACCTAATTGATTTATATCAAAGAAATTTAGAATTATTAACAAAAACAGTTTTGGCAAAAAAGTTGTTTTTCACTATTAAAAAATATACATTATTAATGAGACCTTTATGAAGCACTAAAACTTTCATTCTTGTTAGCTTATAAAAAAAAAAACCTTAACGGATTTTTAATAAAATAAAATTTTAAATTATTTAAGTAATACAATAAGGCAATGAAAAATCATTTTGATTAGAAATAACTTATTATTTTAAAATAATTTTACTACACATGGAATAAATCCAATTTAAAAAAAAAAAAAAGGAAAAAGTCAATGAATATTATAAAAATATCTTACAGTATTTTATTTTTGAATTAAAAAGTAAATTACAATCTTCAACTTTTTAATTAAATTTTTGTTTATATGGTAATATTTTATTTATTTTTATTTTTAAACACCTTTTATAAAAAACTACTTCTAATATAAAGTTATTTAAAAATACATTAATGATTTATCGTTTGCATTTTTGGTATGAAAATACAAAGAAATACTTAAATTTAATTTGAACTAAGTAAATTAATATTTAAAGAAGAGATTATTTATAATATTCAAATAAATTAATGTATTTTAAAATTTGCTTTAGAAAAATGCATAGCTCTATGTAGCTTACTTGCATTACTTATGTATGTTATATATTTTTTATCATAGTTAATGAATTAAATTCCAAGAATACTTGGAATGACTCTAAACGAATTTTATTTAAATGTTTATTGAAAATAAAACGCGTTAAAATATACCTACAATTTTCAACTTAACTTCTATATATTTTGACTATGTTTAATAGTCATGGTATTTTTAATACAAATATACTACAAAAACTTTAAAGCTGTTTTCAGAAATAAATACTAAACATAGAACCATTAAAGTATTTAATGTTAACAGTATAATGTACTAATAATAAATATATTAAAATAATATATTACATTTCGCATAAATATGTGTACAGTTACATAATTCTGATAATTTCATAAATCTTCCAGTAAGTTAATTAACTAATTTATAAGATAACGAGCTTTCATTTTGAATATAAATGCCATTGTTTTTAGTATAGTTCCCAAAATAAGATTATTTTATTTGGAGCAGCTATATCTAATTATTAAATTAATAACGTGTTCAAACGTTACTCATTATACATTTTATATTACCTACAAGCTGTGTTCGGATTAGATAAATATTTTTTTTTTATCTCGATAAAAATGATTTTTAAATGAGTGCAAACCATACATTTTAGTTTTTTGTTTTACATTTGATTTTGCCTTACAGCTTACAGCAAATGTATATAATTCAAAGAAATATTGAATTATAAACAGTTAAAAACGAAAAAACGAAGAACATATATTTTAAGTTAAATATTAATATTATAATATAATTATATAAAATAATATAATTTATAAAATAATAATAACAATTATCATTTAGAAATTTCGTCATATTTATAATTATAAATAATTAAAATAAAAATTAAATATTTACTGTGTGACATTCAATTTATGATTGTCCATAATTCATACGGCAAATTTTATTAATTATTAATATGCTGATAACTGCAAATATCCATTTTTAAAAGAGTTAATTTTCAAATGTTATTTGTAAACAATAAAAATTATACCAACGGCATATTATATAATAAATAAAAAAATAAAAAACTTCTAAATTTTGGTTGAGAATTTGAATGCAAATTTAAAAACTTGTTTGCTCTATTCTGGTAATCAATAAAAAGTATATCTAGATTAGTAAATTATTTTTCGAAGATAAATGTTTCGATACCTTGTAACTATCTATAGATATTTATATGGATAATATAAAATATGAAAAAATATTTATTAAAGTAGAAAATTAAATAGAAAAATTGAGAATTTTTTATAAATTAATCGTCTAGATAAACGTATCTAAAGAAGTTTGAACATTGTTTACTTGAATTGTGTTCACATGATATGATAATATAAAGCTCTATAATTTCATTCAGAAAACAATTTTGAAAAATTGTTAAGAAAGATTTTAAAATATTCACCAAATAGTGTTTTCAATGATTCAATAGGCCAACGTAAGGCTGTCTAAATATTTCTCGTATTGATAAAAATAGTTCTTACGTAGTAAAAAAACCAATAAATATAAAGTAAACGTTGAGTATAAAAATGTACCAAAATTTAATTTGTTTGCTTTCGAAGAGATGTTTATTTCCTTTAATTTTCCACGAAAACAATGATAATATTTAATAATTTGATAGATTAAATTTCGTTTATTAAAGTTAAACTTCTAAAATTAGTTATCCGTTGTTAGAATAGTGTAAATTAAATGGTCGATTGTTAAATCTAAAGCACTATCAATTAATATAGTGTCCTGGTAGTAGTTATAAATAAATACAAATCAAAGAACATTTCTTAAATATCAAATATTTTATTTTTAGAATGTAAATACCTTCGTTGTGAAGTACAACACACGAACTTATTTGATACACTAGAATTTCATATCGTCTACTATTGGTTTCACGTAGTAACGCGGGGCTGTTGTGAATTTAAATAATTAAAATACATTAAAGTATATGTGTTGTACGTGGGCAGAACAAACGTCCTAATAGTATGAAAATATAAACATGCTCTTAAATGTTTTTCTAAAAATTATTTCTACGAATCGTAATCGTACCTTTCAATGTTATGAGTTTGGTGTATTTTAATATTTTACGCGAATCATTTAGTTTCATATTATTAAAACCATCCGAGTTATCCATAAGATATTCATCATCGTAGTGTTACGATATACTCCAAACTCAATTTGTCGATAGTACCCTCAGGCAATAGCTGTACTTTATTTTTATCATTTCGTTCATACGGTATGGGCTTATATTTCAGTTGAATGTATAATATTGGATTAAATGTTCGAAATGGTTAACAGAAATAAACATCGCACTTTGTTACGAAACCAAATTCATATAATAATTGTATATTTTAAACAATAGTACGTATGTATGTGGGTATTCTAAGTATACACGAGAAAACATGTTTAGTAAAGTACGTATTATTCAATACGGCCGGATGTTTTAAAACATTTTGTATCGCATCCAAGGATATTATAAGTTTTTATTATTCCGACCTCTTTTTTCCTTTATTCGAATATCCCTTGAGCGCCTTTAACATAATCTAGCGATGCCAACCGAACCGTTATTTTGATATTGAGGAATCATTCGTATCAATGCCCAGAGGAAATGAACTACCATCGCTTGGCACCAGAAGGCTAAAAATGTTTACCCCCCTAGTGAAAAAATAATGTATAAATATTTATATTTATAAACTGCGATGTGTTTCATAGAATATATATCAGGTTTTCAAGCGTATTTAAATCAATTTTCACGATTATTTATTACTGCGATGAACACATATTGACACTGTACATTTAATTTGTCATTAAAACTTTTTCAGTGACTGATCAATGTTCATTTGGGAAAAATAAACAGCGTTTGTATAATATGTAAACGGAAATATGAGTAGTTTTTCATTTTTAAATTTATCGAATTAATTATATAGAACTGGTTTGCGTCACCAGAAAACAATAATTTTAATAATAGAAACATGTTTCTAAAGAATTTCTACCATACAATTTCACTAATCGTTATATTATTGTTTTTATCACAATTACCGATATTATAAAAAACATAGTATTATAAAATGCAATTTAAAGTTCCGAGTCTTACCTGAAGAATTGAACAAAATCGAGTCAGTGGTTGAAACTATGTTGACAAATAATTGCAAGCTTACGATATTATCAAAACATTTATGAACTGATTCATATAGGTTAACTTCGTACACATTTTGTAAGTTAACAATTATCATTATTTTTAGAAGTGTTGTTAGTACAATATCTAATTGAAAAAGTGAATCAATATTTACTCCGATGTAATATTAGATACGTGGTTTTCTGAAAGAATTAAATACAAATTATATATTAAACGTGATTATACTCCGCAAATTTGGTAATTTCCGGCGAAATGTGCGAGTAAATTATTTTACTATAAAACGCGTTTTTTCTAAACAACTGATTGCTTTTTAGGTATTAATTATATTTAAATCATTGCTAATAATAGCTTAATTTTGTTTTTAATATCATTTACATTTGACACAATATTTAATTTTAATTTTCCTGGATTTGCCTCCCAATACTTTCGGTGATACTGTTTATTTTTTTTTTAAATGTAAATCATAAAAAAAAAATAAATAAATAAAAAAAAAAAGTAAATTAAAATGCTATCTGAAAAACTTTAATTTCACTAAATGGTTTTTTTATTTATAGAAATGACTGTCGTAAGGAAATAGACACGCAGAAACATTTTTGATAAGTAGCAGTTCACTACGATTACATCTGAGCAAATAATTGAAAGGTAAAATTGTTTTATATTTAATTAAATATTTTTATTAAAAACATAGTATACATAGTATGAACATACAGTAGAAAATATATATATTATATGAATATAGTACCTATATAGGTTTGTTAATTTCAGCAGTAATATTATCTATGTTTACTAAGCGTGTTATATGTATCTTTGCATATTTATATATATTATAATATATTATATACAGGTAAATGTGAAAATGGAATATTTGTCAAACATATTCTATTAAACTACTTACCTGATTATTTTGATTTTTTTTTTCTTAAATAAAATAGGATATTGTAGAGCAGGTTTTAAACTTAAATTAAGTTTTACATCTTATTTGAGTAATTATTTATTTATAATTATTTATTTTACATGACGCAATGCAGCAAAAAAAAAAAAAAAAAACACATTTGTTTGGGATTGTCAATTAGAAAACCGCTGTGGCTGTATTCTATAACTCGATATGGTTTCTCAACAACAAATTTCGATTCATCAAACTAAAGAAACCATTGTTATCGAATATGAAAGATATAAGTAATTCTGTGTTACAGATACGTTAACACTGCTGATAGAAAAAAAAATTCGATAAACCAACACACCCATTTAGACCCATCGATAACATATATCGACGATGTTTAAGATAAAAAATATATCTCGTGTTATCATTTATCCGTTATTGTAACTACTTACTTTGATGAACCATTTTTAAACATGCCAGCAAAAGACATTTACTGCCGGTCCCTTAGCGTGGGTTAAAATGAGAAGGTTAATTATTTTAAGTAACCTAACCTAACATAAAGATAAGCATTTATTTTCACGGGCGAAGCCGAGAATTTAGCTTGTATTATATATATTCACATCCACATAAATGTATACATATTTACCAAGGTTAGTGTGGTTAATATTATTTTCATGTTTTGAAAAATGCTCTTATTTTAAATGAAAAGTATTTTTCACTCAAACATTTTAAAATAATCGCTAGTGTTTCCGCATACGTAAAGACGTAAAGACGTGATATATAAAAATAAGGAGTCTCGGTACTTGAGAATCGTAATAATACTAAACAGTGGCATACCGACGGGGGGCGTTTAGGGGTTGACCCCCCATAAGTTAACCATGTATAATGATTTCTGTAATGGAATATTACAATTAATATATGTAATAATAATTGATGAGCATTTGTGTAGCAGGTGATCTACGGCCTCTTTTTAGGTGTAGCAGGTGATCTACCGTATTATATTATATTATATCATACTATTATTATACACAGTATTGCGATAACGATTAATGACATTTACATAGATGAATAATTCTATGTAATAATTCTATAATTCACGTCTATGGACATTTACAGTATAACTACGAGTCATTAGCAATATTGCTGGATAGGTTAGTTTCAAATTTTTCGTTGATTAAAATTTTTTTTGTAATGCGTGCGTCTGAATTTTATAAAATAATTGTTGATGAAAAATCATTTATTAATTTTTTACAACTTCACAATTTACTTCCAAATAACAGTGAAACACTGAACTGTAATAAATGTGATTCCGAAACAAACATTGTGATCAGAACAAAAAGACTGGCTTCTGGTGAACAACGCGAGTACCAAAGTTTAAGATGCGTTAAAAAAGGATGCCAAACATTCCAGTTTCTGCGTGTCAAGACAATACATTTTTTACTTATATGGATTTGAATAATAAATATAATTCTAAATTGTCGGTGGGACAAATTTTATAGTTAGTTTTTTACTAGTCAGAAGACATGAGTATTGTAAATGTTTGTCGGCTTACTGGACGTTCTAATAAAACAGTAGTAGACTGGTACAATTTATGCCACAATGTGTGTTGTAGTATTTATGAAAATACTGAAAAGTAATACTTCAAAATTACGTGAAGAATTTTTGAAATTTGTCCCTGTGACTAGCTTGATGGGAGAAGGCGTCGCTCAAACTTTATTAGACAACTTAACAAAACTTGGTATAGATCAGCGGTTCCCAAACTGTGCACCGCAGTGCCCTAGGGGCACCATAACCACTTTCTAAGGGCACCGTCGTCTACAGTTCATTGCAAATAGTTTAAAATGTATAAAATTGTTTTTCCATATAGTTTTCGTAAAAACATTATAGAAAATAATGTAATATTTTCTATTGTATAATCGGTTATTTTCATTTTAACCTTATATTATTTTTATGTAATAATTATAATGATAATAACAATAATTTTTATTTATCTAATTTTTAAGTTTAAAAATGCATTAGTTTATAACTTAGTTAAATTTTATTAAAAATTAATAAAATCGGTTATCAATCGGTCTTTTTTTGTTTCTGTCTTTAATGTTATTCACAGCCAGGGTATCGTGGGTAAATTGGGTCCAAAAAAAGACACCGCGGAAAAAAAAATTTGGGAACCGCTAGTATAGATTATTATTTTATGGTTGGCCAGGGATATGACGGGGCTGCGATTATGAGTGGTCGTTTTAATAGCATACAAGTACATATCAGAAAAAAATAACGATATGGATATATATATATATATATGTCCACTGTGCCTCTCATGGTCTTAATTTGGCTATTTCTGATGCTTATGATCTTCAAAGTATTCGAAATTATATGGGTGTGCTTGGAAATTTATACAAATTTTTTAATATTCTTAAGCGACAAGAAGTTCTTTTACATACAATCGCAAGTATAGAAATAAATACAAAAGCCACTAGGTTTAAAAATGCATGACCCATGGGTTCAGTGACATGAATCAGTCTTAATTTTCTAAGAACTTCAGAATACTGTTACAATATATCTTGAGAACATTTTTTTGTGAGAAGATAAAACTTCTTGTTATACAGCATTACAACTTTTAACCGCAATCCAAAATTCTTAATTCCAGGTGTCCCTACGTACTACCACTATAATGTTTGGTATAGCATTTCCCCTGAATCGTTTATTACAAACAGAAGATCTTGACTTATCAACTGAAATGTTTATTACAACAAATATTGAAGATATTTTACTTAAAATGCGAAATGATAGCGAAAAAAAATTTTATTATATTTTCAAAACCGTTAAAATAACATGTTCTAATTGGAATGTTGATGTTAAGATTCAACGAAAAGTTGGCAGGTAAGTACACCGCAGTAATATTGAAACAGATTTACCTGAACTATATTTTCGTGTTTCATTATTAATTCCATTTTTAGATTTTTTCATTATCCAAATTCAAAGACTTTTGTTAAATCACATACAAATGTTGTCAAGTTTTCAATGCCTTTTGCCATCAAAATTAAATAATTAAATTCAAACAATAATTCGAGAATGACATTGTAAATTTTGTACATCGTTATGAAAAGATTGTTAACTTTAGTAAACAAAAATGTATCGGAGAATTTAGATAATGATAGAAGTATGTAAGCCAAATTAATGAAAATTTTATAAATATCCATTCTGCTTTACATACATGCGATGAAAAAATATTTTCAATTGTATGAAAACTTCTAATTATTCTTGTTACTTTACTAGTGACGACGACCACCCCCGAAAGAAATGTTTCGACTCTTTGTTGTGTTAAAACCTATTTACGAAATACAACAGAAGAGTCTCGTTTAAATGGATTATCAATGCTAAATATTCATCGGGATATTGAAATATCAACAGACACTGTACTTGATGAATTATCAAAAGCATCAAGACGAATTAATATTAAATTGTTAAGTTAAACAATAAAATATAAATTTTTTTAAAACGTAATTGAGCTAGGACGTGAAATAGAAAAATAATACAACTGTATAAACACAATTATATATATATATATATATATATGGTAACCCACCCAAAAAATGGATCGGACATATTATGAGAAATAATGAATGGATAACGATAATAATAGAAGGAAAAGCTGGAAGAGGTAGACCAAGAACACCATTTATGAAACAGATCATAGACGATATAGGGGAAACCAACTATAAGGAACTAAAAGTAACTGTGATGGATAGGGATAAGTGGAGAGCCATCAAAGTTATTTAACCAATCTAAAGATTGAAAAAAAAAAAATATGGTAATCCACCCAGTAAATGAATTCTGCTTGCATCACTAATACTAAAATTACACACGTGTAGATTATTTTATTTCATAAATAAAGATACAGTAGAAACAGCTTATTAAGAACACTTTTGAATCAAGGTGAATTGTGTCAACTAACTGATTGGTTCTAATAAGCGATTAATTTTATTTATTATTAAAAAAATGAATAATTTAAAGAAAGTATCTACTGTGAAAAAAAAATGTATATGCTTAGTAAAATATGTGTTTATCGTTGTCTGTTGTTCTGCTTTGAGTAACTTGATGATTATAGTTTCATTAGAATAATGTTGCCCAAAGCCTTTTTCATTCGCACGGAGCTAGACTGCTCTCCTGAGGACACATAGATCTTCTAAAATTTCTTTACTTGATGGGGATATCTCGCTGTTTTCTTCTTCGTTGTCAGTGTCTACCCGTTCAATTGTTTGGGAATTTTTTTTGGGGATATTGTTTATCTAAATTGAGAAAATCTTTTGGATTTAGCGAGGATGAAGATTTGACTATTTTTCCAAAGTTTGAATTTAATAAATCAAAAATAGACAATCAATTTTATTAGCATATTAGCATACAATTACCCTTTCTGGTGACTGAATTGGTATGAATTCTTCATATTCTTTTATTTTGATGCTAATCATTTCTTGTATTACCTCTTCAGACTTAATTTTTGTTCGATTATCAATTTCTGTTGTAATAACTTTACAATTATTCATCTTGTTGATACCAGATGAAGTAAAGTTTTAGATTAAAAAAAAAAAAAAAATTATAAAAAAATTAGTTTCTTTATCATCAACATTAATAAATTAATTAAACAATTATAATAATTTTTTCTACATTGTGTTGTTTTTTCTTTTCATTTCTTTAAATGTTTCATTACTTTTATCTTTTCTGCTTTATCTTCTTTTACTTGTTTTTTTCGTAACTAAAATATAAT